CTGCAGGAGCTCTCACCCCCACATCTGCTGTCTCCTGCCCAGCACTTTATCCTGTCCCCCAGTGCCCCCCAGTTCTCTCCCCACCCAACCCCCCTTCAATTCCCCTCAGTTCAGTCTCCCTCCCCCATTGCCTCCCACGGCCCTCAGTTCACCCTCCCAGCACTCACCCCATCTGCCCAGAACCCCCATCAATACAGCCCCCCACCCATCAGCCCTCCCCCTCCTCACTGCAGCCCCCAGTCTCACCTCTGCTCCTTACGGTTCTTCACCCTCCCCAGACCCGGGGAGGGGGGGACTGCAGTGGGGTCCCCTCTCCCACTTCCCAGGCTAGCCGGGGAGCAGCCACCTGGGCTGACAGCTGGAGCTCCGGTCACGCCCGGGGTGGCTGACAGGATTTCAATATAAAATTAAGCCGATGAAGTGGGTTCTAGCCCACGAAAGCTTATGCCCAAGTAAATGTGTTAGTCTCTAAGGTGCCACAAGGACTCCTCATTTTTTTTTCTAGTTGATTCAGTTGTTTATTTGAGGGTTTCCCTCCCACCCTTTCTATGTCCGATGAAGTTTCTCTTCCCTGCTGGAGTGTAGGCTCCTGTCTCTTGTTAGCTTGACAGCTTTGTTTATCTGAGGTGTCAATGAATTCTCATTGTCTTTGAAAGTACTTTGTAATTAGCTGCCTGGTGGAGGAACCACATTCCTTTGTTCAGGGCGGGGTAACTCCTGTGTGACTGGAAGAAAACATCCTGCCATGTGAGCATTCTCTTACTCAGAAATCCCGACTCCCGACTCCCGAGAGTCTGCGGTGGGGCGCTGGCCTCACGGTTCAGTTGGTGCCTGGTGTCTGTGGCGCAGTCCGTGGCAGGCTTGCCAGGCGGTCACATGGCTGCAGGGCTAGAACTTGGGACCTTTTGCTCCAAAGCCACAGCCCTGCCCTGGAGGGGGACCTCCATCGCCAAGAGCAGCACTGCCGGCTCCCCCTAGCTAAGGGGGCGGCACAACCGCCCGTGCTGGAGCAGGCTGGCCATGGCCCATCTGCACATCTGCTATCTGCTCCAAGGCATGATGCTCCTGCCAGGTCACAGGTGCCAAGTCACAGGAGCCTGTCCATGGCTCTCTGTACCTCACTCTCATTCTTTCTTCAGACTCCTGCTGGAAACAATGCAGCCCCTCGAGGTCAGGTCTGTGTTCGAGGCTGCCCAGGACCCCACCTTCCTGCATGGACTCTCCCTCGTCAATGGCTTTTCAGAGGACTTGCCGTCCACAGACTCGAATGCCATAGTGCAAGGTAGCATCTAAAAGCCAGTGAGGGGCAGTAGAGCCAGCCAAGGGGCTTCCTGGAGGGAGGGCGGGAGAGGGTCCAGTGGGGGGATTGATTTCACAGCAGTCCAACCTAAGGGGTATCCCACTCTCTGGGGCTTGGTGGCGTGATGGGCTCTGGTTGTGAGCTGCTTGGCCCCAGTCAAGAGCCTTCAGCCTGAGGAGCGGAAAACACTTCACACGCTGAAACTAATCCTGTCTGGTGGGTCGGTATCATCCCTGTGTTACAGGTGGGGAAACCGAGGCACAGAGGTGAAGTAACTTGCCCAGGGCCATGCATCAAGTGAGTGGCAGAGTCAGGAACAGTCAAACTAACTCTTCACTCTTTGCTCTAGCCACACTTTGGAGTGATCTGTCTGTCCTATAGCCCTCTGTCCCACTCCAATGGAAGTGGCATATCTTCCCTGAGTTCCTCTCCCTCTTTCAGAGAAGCCAGTGGCGGGCGATGGGGAGGAGAGAGCCCGCGGGGTCCCAGAGATATCGGACCGGATGTGCTGCTCATCCTGCTCCCGGGAGTTTGACAGCAGGGAGGAGCAGGTAGGCAGCAGCCTGAGGGGTGGAGGCGGATGGGTGGTGTTTTCCATTGCCACCAGCAGGCAGCGCTGTGAGCGAGCAGGGAGCTGGGGAAGCAGGCTGCTGTGAAATGGGTATGTGAATGGCCAAAATGTGGACCATGGAGCTCTGTAGTTGTAGCCTGGGTACGTGGAGATGCAGCCCAGAGACTACTGGTTCTGAAATGCAGTGCTCCATTTTGGGCTTACCCACCTGGCACAAGGTGGACTATTGCATGCTGGGATTTGTAGTCTCCATCAGCCGCACCCACAGGATGAGGGAGGCTGCAATTGATTCTATTTTAAGCTAGTCAAGTGCATTCCTCAGGCCCCTGGTAAATTGCGGCTGCAGCTCTCAGCTGGGCAGGGTCTGGCATAGCCACAGGACCAGCTTCCGCACGCTGCAAAGCCCTGGCCCCGGGGGTCAGACCGTCTCTTATAAAGCTGGGGCCATGTCTCTGCAGCCCTGGGGGCAGGATGGGAACTTGGCAGTAAGGGCATTAGCTAACCAAGTGACCATGACATCGAAATCAGCAGAAGCTGCCTTGCTTTTTTGGCAAGTCCCCGGCAGGCTGGCATCTGGCTGAGGGGACCTCCGCGCTGTCCAGTCCCGGGGCGTGGGTTGGTGCGCTTCCATCCATCTGACCTGGGGGATCATCAGTATGGGATGCCCCTTCTCACTCCGTTTCCTCCCCAGACTGAGCATTACCGCCTGGACTGGCACCGCTTTAACCTGAAGCAGCGTTTGCTAGGGCGCCGGGCACTCGCAGCAGAGGAGTTTGAGGAGAAGACCCGTGCAGGTGAGGGGGGACAGACGGGAAGGGCTGCTGTCATAGGCTCGCTTGAGCTGGTGGAGTGCCGCACGAAGCAAGCACCCTTTAATTATCAGTTGATATCCAGCTCCAGGTGTCACCTGTGCTATACATTCTGCAACATAAAACCATCTGTCACTGGCTCAGTCCAAAGGTGCGGTTGGGGTTAGGCCCCTGACCAGACCAGCTTTTGGGATCAGCGGGAGCAATCCTTCCTTCCTTCCTTCCTTCCTTCCTCCCTGTCCTAGCTTCACCCAGAACTGGCCACTGGAGGAGGCAGCTAGCTGTTTTTATCTTGCCTGCTGGGCCCTGATTGGGTTTTGCCCACTCCTGGCCTTTCTACCTGCCGGAGGATCAATTCTTGTTGCTTCCACTAGCAGCTGATCCTAGGGGTGGCCTCTCTAGGCAGCTCTTGGAGGTCTAAACTCACTGCTTTTTTCTCCCCAAAGAGGATGCCTTCTTTGGATGGAGAGGTGACAATGTGGCGGGGGCATCCAATGTGTGGTACGCCCCATCACCGCAGCCCTTCAGCAGGGACATAGGCAGCAGGAAGCCTCTCTGGTGGCACCTGACCAGGCGGAGAAGCTCCGAGCACCAATCACACTTACCTTCTCCCCAGCAGCTGCCGGCTTCCCGGGTCCCTTTGTTTGCCTGCCCCATGCGGGAGGCTCCGCTGGGATGAGTTCAGGTCCTGTCATGTCATATCATATATTACCTCTGTATAAATCCATGGGACGCCCACACCCTAAATACTGCGTGCAGATGTGGTCGCCCCATCTCAAAACAGAGATATTGGACTTGGAAAAGGTTCAGAAAAGGACAACAAAAATTATTAGGAGGAAGGAACAGCTGCCGTATGAGGAGAGATTAATAAGAATGGGATTTTTCAGCTTGGAAATGAGACGACCAAGGGGGATTTGGTAGAGGTCTATAAAATCATGACTGATGTGGAGAGAGTAAATCGGTAAGTGTTATTTACTCCTTCCCATAACACAAGAACTAGGGGTCACCAAATGAAATTAATAGGTTTAAAACAAACAAAAGGAAGTATTTTTTCACACAACACACACTCAACCTGTGGAACTCCTTGCCATAGGATGTTGTGAAGGCAAAGATTATAACAGAGTTCAAAAAAGAACTAGATAAGTTCCTGGAGGATAGGTCCATCAATGGCTATTAGCCAGGATGGGCAGGGATGGTGTCCCTAGCCGCTGTTTGCCAGAAGCTGGGAATGGGCGACAGGGGATGGATCACTTGATGATTCCCTGTTCTGTTCATTCCCTCTGGGGCACCTGGCACTGGCCACTGTCGGTAGACAGGATACTGGGCTACATGGACCTTTGGTCTGACCCAGTCTGGCTGCTCTGATGCTCTTTGTGGTGAGGTTGGTTCTAGCCCCTCCTCTGCCCTCTGGAGCTGGCTGGCTCTGACCTGTCAAGTGGGGCCAGGTCATGGGCAGGTACCTCAGTGAGAACCGTATGTTCTGCAGATGCCTCCTCCCTCAAACACTCGCTCCTCCCCCACCCCAGGATCCTGCTGC